CCTCTGAATGTTCCTCACGGTTCTCAGCAGAACCTCTGAACGTTCCTCACGGTCCTCAGCAGAACCTCTGAATGTTCCTCACGGTTCTCAGCAGAACCTCTGAACGTTCCTCACGGTCCTCAGCAGAACCTCTGAATGTTCCTCACGGTTCTCAGCAGAACCTCTGAACGTTCCTCACGGTCCTCAGCAGAACCTCTGAACGTTCCTCACGGTCCTCAGCAGAATATCCAGCTCTGTAAACATCTGACCTACTTTCACCGAGGGCCGCCCACCGGCCATTCACAGAGCTTCTTCAGGTTCTAATGTCCTGAAACTGGTCCCAGGTCTGAGGCCAACAGGACCACACGGTCTGCACCTGAACCAGAAGATTCTGAACAGAACCAGCAGTTCTGATCAGGTCCAACACTTACTGGAAACAAACCAAACTCTTGCTGTGGTTCTTCTGGGATCAGAGGACCCTAAAGGGCTCAAAACCACCGAGATCCCAAAGAAACCTCACATGGTCCAACACAAAGACTGGTTGGACCAGGAACCCTGAATGTTTGGTTCTCCAGGTCCAGAATTAAGCAGCTTAACGCCTTTTCTCCTGGTTTCAAAGTGAAGTTAAAGGAGAAAGACAAGCAGCAGACAGAAGCTGGGGAGGATCTGTGAATAAAGGTTAAGTGGGAGGGAGGCGGGGGGCGGCTGGTCTGACATCAGATCTTTACATGATGAATGAGAACAAAAAGAAGAAAGTGAAAGATTGATGGAGACTCGATGGAGAGGTGGAGATGGTTAAAGAAAGATGAAACAAGAAGATATTTAAAGGAAAAACTAAAAGTTCAACAGGATCTTATGACTTCTCACCGACATTAATGAGATCTGAAGACACAAAGTTTCTGTTTTACCTTCTCTGCCGACTGCGCCGTGCCGAAGAAGATGGGTATGAAGGCCAGCCACACGATGCAGGTGGTGTACATGGTGAACCCGATGGGCTTGGCCTCGTTAAAGTTCTCCGGGACCCCGCGGGTCTTGATGGCGTAAACAGTACACGTCACCATCAGTAAGATACTGTAACCCAGAGAACAGATGATCTGCAGGTCTGAGATGTCACATTTCAACACCCCTCTTGACAGATCTGGATTCATGGTCCTCTGCTCGTCGTAGTCCACGATGGTGTTGGGCGGATCCACCCCGAACCAGATCAGAACCCCCAGCAGCTGGACTGAGATCAGGCTGAAGGTGATGGCCAGCTGGGAGGTGGGGCTGATCAGCCTCGGGGCCGTCACAGACTTCTTGCCCTGCTCAAAGATCCGGTAGATGCGATTGGTCTTGGTGAGGAGGGCGGCGTAGCTGATACACATCCCCAGACCCAGGAAGATCCTCCTGAAGGAGCACACTCCAACGTCCGGCTTGGCGATCATCAGGAAGGTGATGATGTAACACAAAAATATTCCAGTCAGGAGGACGTAACTCAGCTCCCTGCCGGACGCTCGGACTATCGGAGTGTCATTGTAGCGCACAAACGTGGCCATGACGAAGATCGTAGCTATGATCCCCAGCATGGCCAGGAAGACCGGGATCACGGCCCAGGGGGAGTGCCACTCCAGCTTAATGATGGGGATGTCCTGGCAGGAGGTCCGGTTGGAGCTGGGCCTCATGTTGTAGGCGCACAGCTTGCAGCTGAACTCATCAGAGAGGTACTGGTAGCCGTCGCAGGGCTCACAGTGCCAGCAGCAGGCCATACCTTTCACCACCTTCTTCCTTTCTCCTGCTCTGCAGGGAAGACTACACACCGACGTGGGGGTGTCCTGCTCCCCCCGAGGCCACTGCAGCTCCTCCATCTGTAAGAAACAAGAAGACAGGCAGGTCAGAGGTCCCCCAAACACAGAGACAAAACCAGAGGACCCCAAAACACTCTTCACACATCATCATGATCCTCCTTCTGTCAGAGATGCAGTTCTGCCTCCAGAGGGCGCTCTCCTCTCCTCTCCTCTCCTCTCCTCTCCTCTCCTCTCCTCTCAGGTCTTATGAAAACCTTGGAGGTAATCTTTGATGGATCTGCTCCGTTGCTATGGTTATATGTGTTTTTGGCTCCTGTTTCTGATGTTTTACTGCTTCTTCCTCAACCTGACAGAGGATGAAGATCTCCTGGCATCAAGTCCTAAAGCCTCTGAAGATGGATCCTGGATTCTGTAGCAGGTTCTGGTGGTTCTGTTGGTTCTGGTTCTGGTCTAATCTGTAAAAATCCTCCACCAGAACCTGTTGGAGTAAAAACTGCTGAAGATGTGAAAACAGAAGATCCAACTTTCCAGAAAGAGAAAAGTGTCAGGAGAAGAGTGATTTCATGTTGGCTCCATGAGGTTTGAGGCAGGAGGCGGGTCAGTCCAGATTAATAATCCAGATTAATAATCCAGATTAATAATCCAGATTAATAATCCAGATTAATAATCCAGTCTGGATTATGACGTCTGTGTGCTTTTCCTGTTATTTAGTAACAAAGCAGCCTTTTCTTTTCTTTGTGTGAAGACTTCAGGACTGAACAGACTTTACCCTGACTGCTGAGAGTCAGTAAATAAGACTGTGTGTGTGTGTGTGTGTGTGTGTGTGTGTGTGTGTGTGTGTGTGTGTGTGTGTG